ACCTACCATGTCTGTCCAAGCCTTATGCAAAAAGTATTCCATTAACAGCAGCAGCAGTCAGCATAGTTGCAGCTTTGTTATTTATATTTTTAATGTTGTGCAACTTGTTTCAACGTGTCCACGGAGTACTTTCGCCCCAGCTAGATACTCAGCAGTGGTTGCTTTCGGCCATCTGGCTGTAAAGGAAGCTGGCAGAGAGAGCAAGCAAGCTGCCTGTTCTATTGACCTGCAGCAATGTCCTCAAATATGGTGCGGGTGCTAATCACAGGCGATATTTGCAGGGTCTGTTCAGGCACGCAAGAGTCGTTAGTGACAAACGTCGGCTGTGCAAGCACGAGCTGTCTTGAATGTCCAAGCCGTATACAAAGAGTTACTCCATTTGCACAGCATCAGCAGTTGAGTATGCGCTTACGATGAAGACAGATGCAGTTTGATGCATGACGGGGCGCGACACGGAGTGCATGACCTTGGTGTAAGTTGTTGCAACGTGTCCACGGAGTGCTGTCGCCCCAGCTAGATACTCAGCAGTGGTTGCTTTCGGCCATCTGGCTGTAAAGGAAGCTGGCAGAGGGAGCAAGCAAGCTGCCTGTTCTATTGACCCGCAGCAATGTCCTCCGATGTGCTGTGGGTGCTAATCACAGGCGATATTTGCAGGGTCTGGCCTGATCCCTGGACCCAAGCCGTGGCTCTGCAGCCGTCTGCCCTCGTGGTTCGAGGTGTGTCCGCCTTGTATCTCCTCCGTAGGCAGCGAGACTGACCTTGCCCTTGCCTGGCCTCCTTGTGTGTGACAGCAAGTAAGATCTGTTGCGATGTGAAGGAACATGTTCACAGATGGTTTCTTGTGGTTTTTGAGACGGTCTCACTCAGAGGGCGAACGACCACCAGCTGTACAAGTTGCGGCCGATGGTGTCGGTTCCAATTGGTCTTCACCATGTAATCATATATGCTTCTGAAGGCTTGCTTTCTTTTTTGTTCTTTTTTGTACAACTGCCAGCGTTCATGGACCTGGCAGAAACACTTGCTTCATGAAGCAATCTCAACAAGGTGTTCGTGGACGCAAAGACTTTTGTAATGCTCCTGGGAAGCACGAGTGCAAGCACATGAGATCTCAGTTCTAGAGGGTGTTTTGGCCATGCGTGAACAATGCAACCTGAGGACTCCGCACACGGAGGGAGTGTCGTCTGAGATAGGCTCTGTCCAGGCGGCTCTGCACTGCTTCAGCCACACTTCGCAAAGATGTGCAAAGACGTGTAGTTGCAGAGACAGAGAGAGGAAAGCGGAGAGCGGAGAGCGGAGCCCGTACTTCAGGCCGGATGCTGGATGTGGGAGGGTTTCTACTACATGCTGCGCCGGCCCAAGCTCCGACAGTTTTCACCGTCTGGGATCGTTGCTGCATCATTGCGGGCCGGTGATGGCGGCTGAGGGCTTACCGGCGGACCAGCAAGAGGCATTCAAGCACCGAGGCGGAGGGGTATCGATGGCCGGTCCTGCTGATGACATGGTTTCCACGTTGCAGGGAAGCAAAGCAGTCAGATCTTTCCCGGTGATTCCAGAGGACTAGGCAGCTGTACAGAACCGTTTCAGGTCGTGGGTGAATCAGCCCGTCGACTCGGGGCAAAGCTTCCCTATTCATTGTAGTTCGGTGGTAGTGGATGTTCCTTCAATCGCTCCCAACTCTTCTCACATCGTCGCTTGGGCGTCAAGCAGAGGAGGAAGAACATCAATAATCCCGCATGAGTGAGTGTCTGGATTGTCTGGGAGTTTGGGTCACAAATTTCTCGGGAACGAACGGCGGAAATAGGGGGCAGTGGATCGAGATGGGTCTGCCAGGATGAATGCCGACTATTTTTACAGGTACCCACAGGACAAAATGCCGCTTACGTGCAGCCTCAATGCTGGCTCGAGAGACAAGCCCCGCAACCGTGAGCAGACTTCGCCGAAGAAGCACTCCGCAGCAAGAGTCAGCAATGCTTGCAGTGGTTCATGAAGATACGTTAAAGTGATAGTTATTGCCAGTTACTCGTATTGTTGTATAATAGTTATTGGTACGACTGTGTGACACCGCTACTGAATGAGCGGGTTTGGCCGATGACCCAATTCTCTGGGGTGCGGCTCTTATCGAGGCACAGTTGCTGTGACTGGTTCGCTGCGTAAGATCGTCCGGCTTATGACTGCGGCCTTCGAACCGCAGCCATTTGGTTTCTTGTAGCATCTTTCTGTGCCACTCTAGACGATGACTGCCAGAGCTGAAGCTGCGATGGATGTGGATGCCGATGGCGAGTTGCCAGCAGCCCCTCCTGTCGCGTCCTCCGACGGCCGCAGCTCAGAGAAGGCCTGCCGGGGAGGGAGGTCAGACTCGGCCGTGCTGTGCTGTTGGCAGGAATGGATTCTCGTCGATGATGCTGAGAAGACAGGACAGCTGCCTGGATTGGCCTGGATATGCGAGCAACAAGTCGACTGCCCACTGACGGCAAGGAACGTCTGGTCTTGACCCTGACGCCGAATTGGATCTTTGTTTCATCTGTGACTCGGTACACTTTCGACAGCCTGCGATAGGTGAAACCTCTGAATTTTCGGTAAGCAAGGCGACTGCACTGGCTCGATGGGTCAATACATCAAGGCAGCACAGGACCATGTTTCGACACGTTTGGACATGTTCCCGCAACTCATCGCGGAGTCTGCTGATCGCTCGAGGACAACATCCAGTCCATCGTTGCAAAGATCTCGCAAAAGCATGGTGCCAAGGCCAGCTCTCCTTTGCGACGCTGTCTCGCATTTTCAGCTTGGGGACAAGATCAGGTTCAGTTTGGCCTGATTTGCTACCGCGACCACCCGCCTCAGGCATGCAGCTCTAGATCTGGTCTTGAACGAACTGTTGGACATGTCTTCATTGCGAGTCATTGCGGGCGCTGGAACGAAGGTAGAAGAAAAAGTGCATGCATAACTCGCCTTTCAAGGACAAGACCTACGTCACGAAATGCCATCCCTTCACAACCGATTTGGCGCAGATGTCGCAGTATGTCGACTCCATGAAGGCACTTGGGCAACATCTGTCGCGCTGAGACATACCGTGCACGTTTCTCAAGCCCAGTGCTTGATCTGAGAGTGGTCTTGTGCCTGGGAAGGCCAGTGGCGGAGGCGATGGACCGGAAGCAGTGACTGCAGGCCATGGGACGGGAGGATGAGTGCTTACTGAGAGCTCAGACGATCGTGAACATGGAAAGCACCAAATTCTATGAGGGTCTGCAGTTTCATGCAGCGATTGAGGTCATGATTGGACGGGAAGAGTGCCTAAGCGAAAATGTCGTGCTACGTTCAGGCCTGTACGATGCCTTGCATTTGCCCTGGCGGCCAAACTCGACGAAGATTTGCGCCCCTTTGCTGAATGCTTCCAAACTGCCACCAGTTTGGTGACCACTGCAGTTCTAGGTCCTGATTGCCGATGCCCCGCCACATGGGCTGGAGCCGAGCCCTGCCGCAACAGAGGACTATCGAAGCAAAGAGAGACGTACGTGTCACACGGCATGTGGGGAGAGTGTTGAAATGCCAAGGGCTGGTGACGGCTTCTCCAATGGCGACCCCGATGGTCGCGACCCACTGGACATCCTCCGAAGCATGGCAGCGCACGGCATCACTGCGTGCCGTTCTTGGAGATCGGACATGTCGCGGTAGAATTTTTCAAGGGGATGCGATTGTCATCACATCTGTTGAATCTTGGCAATCACCGTCTTTTCGAGAGGTACAGTGTTGGTTGCGAGCCGGCATTGGGCAGCTATGCCCACGCGCGGGACTTTCTTTGCACCGTGGCGGAAATCACTGGGGGCCAAGCCGTAGCCCTGAGCTCTGCTTCTTCGCCGCATTTGAAACAACACTGCTAAACGTAGTGGCTGGCTGATAAGCAACCATTAGGTCAAAGGCAAGATCGTGGCACGGCTTGAGAATTTCCGAGATAGATCTGAACTGCTTGGCACTTGCGACTGTGTTTCACGGGAGGCTTTACCTAGATTAAGTTCCTTCAGGGAGTCATTTCGTAGAAGTCCTGAAATGGAAGTCCAGTCGAGTCTTTGTTATCGTGGTGCCTTCACTCACTTACTTCCATCTCTCCTCCCTCACTCGCTCTGCTCCGTTCCACTCCACTCCACTCCACTCCACTGCGCTCATTCACTCATTCGCCTGCTCATCGTCTGGTCCCAGTGACCGAGGACCAATTAGGACCACCTGGCCTTGTCTCAGTTCCTTGACGCGCAAGCTTCTAGACTTGCTGCGCCCCCAAGCTTCCCGGCTTTTGGAGGCCGTGCTGCTGGCGGACGTGATCATCAACGGCAGTGTGGAAGAGCTCGCTCTGGCAAAGCTGCAGCGAAAGGTCGAGGAGGAGGTGCTGAAGGTTCAAGTCCAAGCGCGCTCTGCTGGCCGCGAGATCTCCACTGAAGAAGCATCGACGAGGGCCTGTGAAAACCTGCGAGCTGGGGGCATGCGAAGTGTGCAGATGGAAACAGATGGGCACATGAAGCATGCAAACAGAGCTTGCTGGGGCTTGGACGCTGAGAAGCGATCTCTGGCACACGTCAAGGAGGCTCTCGGCAGGGAGGCTCTCGGCAGGGAGGCTTCCCCGCACAAGGGCTACGCTATGGGTCGAAAGCTTGGCTTGCCGGGAACGGCCACCACTGCTCCAGCACCAAGAGGTTGGGGTCGGGGTCCCGCTATGGCCATGTGCCCATCTGCCATGCCAGCTTTTTCCGCACCTGCCGCTGCGCCAGCATCCACTTCCAACGTTCTTAAGGAAGATCTCATCTCCAGTGCTCAAGTGAGTCGCATGGTGCAGAAAGCGAAATGTCAGAGTCGTCTGGCATGAGTCAATGGGCACCACGAAATTCGCGGACACGCGGGTCTAGAAAAGACAAAGCGGATTAACCGGATTTTGGAAAACTTTGCGTCAGGACTCAGGAAGCTGAAGGGCCGTGCAGATCCAAGCCCCAGCATGAGAGCTGTACAGTCTGCGCATGAACTGTGACGAAAACGACGAACTGTTTGAGCTTCTGAGTGAGGGGACGCAGCCTTTACTGCTTGCACATCTCTCGATTCCTGGTACCCAGCTTCCACCTTTCCCGAGTAGCCCATCAATGCCCTCACTTTCAAGGCAAAGTCTACACGAGTACCGGCAATCCTGGTAGCCTTGAGGTGAAATTGCCTTGGAGGAAGCGGCCTCGCAACAAGGCAAGTCATTCACTGGCCGGCAGACCGAGACAGCGTTTCTTCGTGCTGCTTGCATCAGAGGCTCAAGTCAACAGTGCTGGCACATAAGATAAGCCATGCTAGGACGACGGTGGCTCTTTGAAGCAGGTCTGCACTTTTCCCAGTCCCACTTCAAGCAGTAAAGACTAGCGCATCGCCGACTCGGCGAAGCGGCCAGGCCATAAGCTCCATTTTGAGTGCGTGATCTCTGCCTGTGCCGGATGGTGCGGTTCCCGATTTTGTGCAGATGCTGTCCCTAGTTCGTTAGCTATCGTGTGGCATCATCGACATTCTGCCAGTACCCGTCGTGTTCTGGTTCCACCAGCTGTCCATGCACCTCAAGCTAGAACGTACGAGCAGGTGCTACGGTCGTGAAATCCTCTGGATACACATGCCCTACCGTTGCTTGACAGCCTCTGCTGAGCAGTCACAGATCGGCAATTGGCCGGCTGATGCCCTCAGCCCCACCTTCGCCCATCTCACAGCTACTACCAGTTGCTGGTCTCTGCGGCTCTGCGGCCATGCACCGCCAATGTGCCGGGCTTCCTCAGGCGCTGAAGTCCGCTCTGGAGCGAGGCCCGCTGGCCCTGGCTGTGCAGTCGCTGTGCAATGCTGCTTAAACCAGGCTCTCCTGCAGAGCTTTTGGAGGATCTCGGTACCGCAGCGACTTGCCTCATTTCATCGCCTTGCGATGATCTCTATGGCACTCGTAAAATCATGGTGGAGAGTTCTGTGTCTGCGCTTGTCAAGCTGCCTAAGGTCCGGAAAGTAACGTCAAGATTCTTTGCTGGTTCAGAGGAGGTGGGCTGGTTTGGAGACGGGGAGCTGACAAAACGCTGTGATGACCACGCCAGGAGCTGGAAAACGTGCCGACCTGTACAGGGCAAAGCCCTTTGCTTAGGGCTCTGTCCGGTTCTGCCAGCGCAGTTCCGAAACGTTCCATGCCCTTTGGTGCTGAGGCGAGAGCACTTCGCCCCGAGAAGGGGGATTAAATCTCGTGGCCTGCCATGGTTGACAACAGAGCCCGTCAGTTTTGAGAATCACTGCACCTCCTCCCGACCAGAACTGCACTCAGACCAATGTTGAGGTAGCTTGCATGCAGTCGGGTCGACGGTCTTCTGATTGCTAGCCGTGCCAGAAGCGCGAATTTCAAGGGCTTTTTCGTGCCAGTTTTGCTGCAATGCTGCATCACAAGTTCAACTCATCAAACAGGTCCTTGCTGGGTCGCAAGATAGTAGGGCTGCTGCCATTCCGCCGAGTTTTGCCAAGACTTGTCTTTCGTGGATCAAAAGACAGGATGACGAAGCTGCACCGACTGCGGAGCCTGAGTGGATCTCGCGAAAGTCGGAGCAGATGTCTGCGACTCAACCATCTCCGACGTTCAAGATCTATGAAAGTGTGAAGGCAGACTCGGTCTGCGACCCAGCTTAGGACCAAATATATGTTCCTTGACGAAGGCAGCGAGAAAGGACCTGTTTTGAGATGCGCTGCTCGTGTCAACTGCGACTTCAATACTGTCACGCCTCCTAACAATTCGCCTATGCTACTGGAGTTATTTTGACCAGCCAACCTGCTACAGCAGGGTTTTGGGATGTTTTGAGATTAGCAGGACGGCAGATTGTCGGCTGCAACAGAAGGGCCACAAAGCATTATGATATCAGTCCAAGCCCCTATGCACCCAAGGACCACCCCAGGAGCACGCCTGGGGCTCCCAACACCCACTGTGGCTCCCAACATGTGTGTGGGATTGTGCAGGGAACACGATTTCCGGAAGCGAAGAGCGCCTAGCAGCCCCATAAGCTGCATCACAGTGTGGCATCGCATGGACGAGCGGTTCCAAAAAAGAGCTCGGGACTGTGGCAGGAACACGATTGCCACTTTCCACCTAAAAGCATTCCAAAATGTGTACGGGCTGCGGCTTTGTAGCGTCAAAGTACTCGTTTCAACAATGAATTCGGCGTTCGCGGTGGATGCCGAACATGTGCATCACCCGTCTCCTAATTGACATCTCACGCAAGAACTCCATAAGGTCGCTGTAGGCTGCGTTTGAGAGTAACAATACAGCTCTGAGATTAAAAATCTTTCTCCCGGAAGCGATTTTGAATCTTTGGGATGTAGGGGTGCTGCGGGCACAGCCCTTGCTATCAAAGCCAATCCTTTGCAGGAACGGTCAAAATCTACGACTCTTGGTTGCAAGTTGCTGTGCGATCAGCCCTTAAAGATGATTCTGCATGTTTCTTGACGGGCCAAAGTCGGCCAAAGTGTTCCAGTCCAAAGTGCGCTTAACGGAGTCACGCAAGACCGGGAGCCGGGGATGAGAGGAGAAAGGGTCTGCGAGTCTGCAGGTCAAGGCGGAAGAGCTGCAGATCGACCAGTTTGCCGATGCCTACGCTTCTTTCCAGGTGTGTCTTAGCCGGTGCCGCTGAAAATGTCGTTCTGGATCGACTTTGACATGAGACCGAGAGGGTCAAGTCATCATTTGGAGTTTCAGCGCAGCTCAGCTTGGAGCTGCCTTTGATAGCCTTCTTGGGGGGTGCTTGTGGCCAGGAGCGGCGGTTGTCGCTTTACTTGCTCGGCCCTGGTGGCCGAGTTTGGCGTCTCTCAGGGCGTCTGTTTGGCCCCGTGCAGGCAAAGGCAGGCAAGCTCGAAGTTTGTGACTCTTGCGCTCTGATGACGTGAGGATGCATGTTGTGCCCCTGGTACTGACTCGGGGTGTTTTTGTGGGCAGGACTGCAAGTGCTCCTTGTCTGCAAGCGGCCACAAGGCAGGACGGGTGTTGTTAAGCTTGTTATGTGAGTCTTTTGGCTTGGGTGGCAAGCCACGCATTTCCACGGCAACTTGTGTCAGGTGTCCGTGACTTTGCGGAAGTCCAGCACTTCTGATCAGTGGCATCGCTTGATCGAAGATCCAGGCGTGTGCGTCTGGCTGTCGATGAGGTGACAGGATCTCTCCGTGCCAACAAGACACTAACCCCATGCACACTGCTCATCACAGCCTCGCATGACTGTGATTTCTGCCGTCTTGTGTTTGGGATCGAGACAAGTCTTGCGAGGCAAAGAGCAGCTGGACAAGTCACAAGACTTTATCTGAGTGAGTGACTCCAGTAATTTGCACGCACCGGCTGCGCCTCTCGCAGAACCCACACGCCCAGACAAAATCCGTCATCCAGTTTCCGCCAACAGGCGGAGCCGGTCCCAGAGCGGCGTTTGCGATGCCTCTGCTCACGTTCCACCTTTCTCGCAGTGAGCGAGTTGAGAAGGGGCACCACCTGCAGAGTGTGGGAAGCCGACACTGCAGAGACAAAAAGTGCGCCCGTGCACGCGCACACACATCTCGCGAGGCCTACGATGTTTAATGTTACGGGTCAGGGGAGCATGCTTGTTTACGTTCAGGCTTCTTTAAGATCGTGGGCTCACCTGTCAATATCTTGGACCTTGGCGGCCACATGTGGGCAATCTGACAGATTCATCGTCTGCACCGAGCTCGACCCTTCGCAAGGAAGTGCGAGCTTGGGTGGGCACGTAGCCAGCATGGCCGGGGGCTGAGTGGATAGCTACGAGCAAGGGGTATCCGGTATCCAACGCAAGGATGAGAGGTAGGGCGGCAGCAAGCGCACAACTGAGAGTTTCATGCTGCAAAAAAACAGGCGGTGCCGTCACTTTGTCTCTAGAGGGCAACTGTGTGTAGCTGTCCCTTGTACAGTCAAATGGCCCTTCTGGCTGAAGAGGGCGAGGGAAATGGCTTCGACGATTCTATTGAGAACCTCGAGGCCGTCACGGCATCCGGCTTTGTCCGGCGGACGAGGAAGATCTCAGTGACCATCGGTGCGGTCTTTTGTCTTGGAATTCTCGGCACGATCTCACTTCAGCCCCGGCGAAACCAAGCCGCAGAGATATCTGCAAGAAATGTGAGCTCAGAACTGGATCGCTTCAGCTTCCTCCTAGAGCGGGAGCTCTTTGATGTCAGCTTGTTTGACAACATTAACGTGCCCTACAGCTCGGAGCCCGAGGAATCGAAGGCCAGGGTGTGGGGCAGTTGTTCGTGGGACTGAAATTGCGTGGAAACTGCATGTCCAATGTTCGCCGCACCACCCTGAGGTCATTACAACCACTTGCGTCATTGATGTGACTCAAGCAATGTTGTATTTGGGAAATGCGATTGTCTACATCTACAGGGCTGCAATTTGCCCTGACACCGAGCCCTTGGGGTGTACGGAACCTGTCGCCTACGCAGTTACCGTGCCTCGGCGCCAGACATCTAAAGCAGAACTTGCAATTCAAACTTGATGGGGGAAGGGGGGTTCCTCCTTCTGAGGCTTTGACCTGGTTGGGCTCCTTCCTGGCTAGCGCTTCCACGTCCTGCGCGGACTCCCTGAATCCCGCAAGCGCCTGCGTTGCCGCCACGTGCCTCGGCTTCTTCTTGCCATTCTGGGCAAAATCCTACGCACAGACCTAAGGCTCCGCGACCTCGCAGCCGCGGGCTCCACTGTCTTTGGCTTTAAAGAGGACTGCCTCCTGACCAAGCCTGGCCCTTAACTTTGGGAACGGGGACGTCAAGATGTCAGCTTCTGAGGCTGCTTGTTGCCTGATAGCACTGGCTCCAGTGTGAGGCCTTTGATGGACAGTCGGGTCTACCAGGACAGAAGAAAGCTCCCACCAATATTGGAGAAGATCTACTCGTTGAACCAGCCTTTTCCACCAGAGGCACAAAGACGTGCTGTGTCCGCACAGGTGGTGGCAGGCCAATTCTATGCTGATTCAATTTTTGAAGTTTTTTCCCCACCCTCGGTGTGGGGTTGTTAGATTTTAACGTCAGCTATTACTCCTCGCCTGCTGAGACTACCTCCTGGAGTGCCCAACCCCACAGACTGCCGTGAGAATCCCTGGAGTGCCCAACCCCACAGACTGCCGTGAGAATCCCTGGAGTGCCCAACCCCACAGACTGCCGTGACAATCCCTGGAGTGCCCAACGTGAGAATCCCTGGAGTGCCCAACCCCACAGACTACCGTGAGAATCCCTGGAGTGCCCAACCCCACAGACTGCCGTGGGAATCCCTGGAGTGCCCAACCCCACAGACTGCCGTGACAATCCCTGGAGTGCCCAACCCCACAGACTGCCGTGACAATCCCTGGAGTGCCCAACCCCACAGACTGCCGTGAGA